TTGGAGAGACTCATCACGTCTCGAGGGGGACACTAAATGTGCTACTGGAACAGGTACACATATTCAGTTTATTTTTCGTACTTTGTTTTTTTTGTTCTTTCCTTTTCTCTATTAAGTGAATATTTAGGCAATGCAATGAATTCTTGAATTTTTTGACAGGTTTCACATCATCCACCGGTGACTGCACTTCAAGCAACTGATGACAGAAACAACATAGAAATGATATGGTGTCAATCTCCCCTACCAAGATTCCATGGTATTATTATTAAGCTTATATGGTATTTTAATTACATTACTTACAGTTGGATTTATTCGAAGAATAAATATTATTATGTTGTTTACGCAGGCACTTACATCGAAACGGAGGTGCACGGGGAGAGGCGGTTGAATATTCTGGACAAGAGAGAAACTTACACGATGAATTCTCCGAAGCTTGTAATAAGATTTTTCCCTTTGCCAGGTGTCGATTGGCTGGGAAATGTCAAGATTCGATGTGAAGAAAGTGGTATTGAAGCAGAGTTGTGTTACAGAGGAAACTCATTTTTGCCACGACCCTCTATACATAGATCGGTTAAAGGGAAGATATTTATGTCATCCACATCAAAGACCGTTTATGAGGTTAGTGGCCACTGGGACAGAACCGTAATTGTGAAAGATGTTTCCACCAGAAAAACAACAACCATCTACGATGCGAAAGAAGCACTTCACCGATTGAAGACTCCCATTGTTAAGGATCCAAAGGTATTTTTCCATTTAAAAAAAAAAACTCATTTTTTTGGGTGTTTTTCTTTCTTCATAATGAAATATTGTCGATTTTATCAGGCGGTTTTAGAGAGTGAATCGAGTGTGGTGTGGGGGGAAGTGAGCGAGGCCATTCTAGAAAAGAGCTGGGGAAAAGCTAAGGAAATCAAGACATGCATTGAGGAAAAGCAGAGAGAAGCTGCAAGAGAGAGAAAGTCGAGACGAAAACAAGACGAAGAAGAAGAAGAAGAAGATTATATTCCAAAGTATTTTACAGTATCTCACAGCAAAGAAAATGGATGGAGCTGCTTACCCAGCAATAAGTTGGTTCCAACAGCTCCAATTGTTGTTAATGACTAACCCTTTTTGTAAAACCAACATATATAATATACATGATTTAAATTTTACAATTCTTGTATAAAAAAAAACCAGAATAAAGACGTACGCCTAACTTGTTTTGCATGAGAAATTCGAAAAAAAAATAAAAAAAATTCGCTACTCTTTGGTATCACCCTTCACATTTCCAGCAAATCTGATTCACTTCTCTGATTGAACGATCTCTCACGGATAGTAGCCAAAACGGGCTTCCATGATCTCGACTTGGGCTCGCGTAACACTTCATCGTTGTCCGTTTTATTACCACTCGTGTCTGAGAAACCGGCGTTCGATGAAGGAATATTTTGCTTTCTTGATTTGGATTTTTTTGAGCGGCTAGTTTGGGAAAGTTTCCTTGCTATGGGGGCCAAATCCAACGGCGACACGTTGGAATCGAAGAGAGAATAAGGAAGCAAGAAGTATAAACGGCCTTGCTCGAGAAGGGTATCCGATTTGAGAGGAGTTGAGGCAGAAGATAGGAGCTGAGTGTGAGTGAACAAGAAATGCTTTGGTGGATTGCCAGTTACTTCACCAACTGTCACTGGATAATCTATTTCTTCAGTGTAGCCATTTAAATCTACTATTCTGATTACTTTTTTGAAGTTCGATTTTTTTGAGGTTGAAGAAGGAGAAGATGATGGTCTTTTGCAAGAGAAACTGCAGCCCATTTTTCTGTCTGAACTATTTTTCCTTCTCTGTTCTATAACATGCAATATCTGAAAAGAAATTTGTTGAGTATTATATAACTACGAACGACGTTTTTTTCGGGGGTAGATGACCTGTCACTCGGGGAAAAGTCTTTGTTTACTTCAGATGTATAAGTTTGTAGAGTTGGATTACCAACCAATGTATCTTTTTTTTTTTATCTTACAATCATTAGCTCAAAATTATTAAATATTGAATTGTGATAGATCTTTATCTTGTTTCCTGGATGTTTACTATGCAATATGTGTTGTATTGTTTTTAGGTGTTAATTGGTGAAATTACTAGCTAAGTGGATGCTTTTGCAGTGACAATAAATTTATCTAATTTCTTTTTATATTTGATGTAATAATAAAGTTTAAATGAAGAATTAGTAACTTGTATTATTTAAATTTGTCTGCAATTCTATGGTTGAGATTGTGGTGACTTTGAACCATGATTGAGAAATTTTAAGGTCAGATAGCAAGACAGAAGCTAGACTTGACTAGATTAAACCTAATTTTAGGACACGGTTGACTCACCAAGACTTAGATTAACCAGATATTTTTAGATAACAAAAAATATATAATTTTATGATAAACTGATGAGACCATTCGTGTGTAAGTCGGAGATTTCTTATTTATTTTTTGAATAAAAAAAATGTACCAAAAAAGAACCTTAAAATGTCAATTTATTTTCATGATAATATGAGTTGAATTTTAGTGCCATCACATTCGTGCTTCTTTCCCGGGTAAAGCCCACAAATGAATTTCTCCAAAGATTTGGGGCTGTCCTTAAATTTGGGCAGTTTTTTTATTGCTGCCAGATACTCTGGTGATAATTTTCCGGTGATTGCAAAAGAAGTAACCATCGTTCGCAGCAGATCCCGGCAGAGAGTGCGCCTCATGCTAGGCGAAGCCTCCACCGGAGGATCAAAGAGAAGCTTCACACACGCCTCCACGCGACTTGGTTTTCCTGGTGGCTGAAGTGGTGGTGCTTGGCCGCTAGCCGCCGCTGCTGTGGTGATGGAGAAAAGAGCTGCAACGGAAACCACCAGGATAATATTGGCCATGCGTTTCGGGTTTGCTGCCATGGCCGGATTTACGTTGTATTTTTGCACACAGATGATTTACATACATACATATATATATAATGAAGTAGTGATGGAGTGGGAGTTACTTTCTTGATGAGTATTTATTGCAGTATCAGGCAACATGCGGCTTTATTGCACTGTTTTGGAACTGAAATCCTGGGACTCATTTTTTGTTCCAGATGTACCCCTGCACATACCTATATATATAGAAAGAACAAACACAAAGAAGATTATAAAATAAAATTACAAGAAAAAAATGCAGTCACCGGAGGGAAATAAGCCCGACTTGTGCAACAAAATCGGCACAGAAACAAATATCAACGAATATAAACAAACAGTGAAGACTAATTAGTTGCTACAAAATGTGCAATACAATCTCGATCGTAGTTTCTTCATCCTGCGAATACTTCTCTTCAATTTGGGCAGACAAAACTTAATTAAACAATTAATCAACCAAGAAAAAAGAAAAACTATAACCGCCAAGGCGATATTTGCAAATTTATAATCCAACTTCTACAAAAGTCAACTTATAAACACTGCTGCCTAGGTTCCGAATATCAGAATGTAACATAAAATATAGCCCAAATGGAGGGAAAAATTAAACAACAAATCATTGTTCCCCAAGGAAGCAAACACTGGCTATGTTTCTTCACCTTCAAATTGGTTCGAAGTTTACCTTCACGTTCTGCCAGTTACCGTTGCAACGAAAAAAAGAAGCAATCTTGGGGGTGCTTTTACAAAAGCAGAAATCTGTACCAGAAGTGGAGAATCCAACACTTGAATCGACCAAATCAATTAATACTGAAGTAAATTGATCACCCCCGACAGATCAAATGGATGTATAATTTGTATAATTGGGGAAAAGTAGCATTAGGTTATCAAGAGTCTCGGGTAAGAATTTCCTTGCAAACAAATAACACGGCCGTTCACTTCCGTTCCACAAGCATGATTTAATCTGGACTTCTTTCTGCAGTATTGAAGAATAGTTTTCATCATAATACTGAAAAATATAAAACCGAAGCAGAGGTACGGCAGAAAGATACTAACCTTTTCATCACTTGTAACGTGCACGCTCTCTGAAATAGACTGCAAAAATAGTTGAAATGAAGTCGTCAGTATTTAAATAATTCAGAAGCAAATAAGATAGAAGACCAACTATTCTGCATTCTACGAGTGTAAATTGAGGCGCCAAGGTGCCAAACCTAATCAAATAAGCTCCCGAAAATTTGTAGCATAACATAAACACAATTTGATAAAAGTCATGCAATTGAGTTCATGACCGAGGAATCTCCTTCCAGTTGATATAGTTCATATGATAAATAGCGATAGTAATAAAATCCATTTTCGAACAAAACAACAAAAAGGGGGGAATCAAGTAGAATTTGGGAAGTCAAGTGAAAAACATAACCGATATTGGAGGAAGAACCTAGAAGGAGAATAAAACTTACAGTAAGATTTCTCATCAGCTCAGGTGTTACATCCTCTGCTCTGTAGGCTTTTGGATGCCACTTCCCTTCAGACCAATCAACATGTGTTACTGACCAGTTGGAAATTCCAGCTGGGTCAAGCATCTGAAATGGTGATGAAAAATACCCGAACGTCAAAACTAAAAACATTCGAGGGAAAAGAAAGGAAAAGACACCTTAACAACCAATAACAAACGGCGCAATGGTTCTCACATAGAAATAAGTAGGCAGATAGTGTTCATCAGAGTAGCAGTTGCGTCCCTTTTCCATGCCTGGCTGTTCAATCAAAGGTACCAAATGGCAATAGCCGCTCAGCAAAATGTGCTAGCAATAATATTCAAATCAATATGCTAAAACATAGAGAAACAGCCAATAAAAGCCAGTCAGCAGTGACTAAAATTGGTACCACCAATTAAACGTAAAAAAGCTCCCAAGCAGAAGAAAGAAAACCCCGCCCTTAAAAGAATAAGAGGGCACATGCAAATATTTATCTCCTTTTGCAGATAAAATAAAGGGTAGCAACATGTAACATCGGAGAGAGATTTCAAGCAAGATATAAAGGGTTTGTCCTCTCTATTTGATAATCTATGCCTCACGTACGGCCATGCATGTGTAAACGCGAAGCGCTGCCGTCTGCGGGCTTTTTGCT